ATCCTAGCCCAATTCCCTGCCAAGCATGTCAACTATGTCTCAGAACAAACCTTAGTCAAGGACCAGGAAGGGGAGGAGACAACACAAGAAGTTTGCTACATTCAAAATAGACAAGGAAGCTATAGGAATCCTCAACAAGGGCGATACAACAATTATCAAGCCCCCTGGCCGCACCAACAACAAAGTGTTCCACAAGGCTTCAACACAAGGACTACTCATACCCAACCAACTCAAGATTGGGATATGAAGGAAATGCTCCAACAACTTTTACAAGGGCAAGCCAAAGGTTCTCTGGAAATGAACAACAAGCTGGTTGAGATACACTCTAAACTAGAGTCATTGACTTCAAGAGTCCAAATCATTGAGTCTTCAAGTGCATCATCCTCTTCACCACAAGAGTATGCCCAAGCAGTTACACTAAGAAGTGGGAGGCAATTCCCTAGTAGAGGTAGCCCACCCCAAATCGCTGTGGACATCGATGACGAGGAAGGGGAGGATTTAGTCGACTATGCTGATAACTCGACCCCGAACTCGATCGAGCTGGAACAAAACCCTGAACCAGAACTCGATCGAGCTGGAGAAACTGAGACACTGCAAGACAAACCAGAGCTCGATCGAGCCAGAAGAGAGCAGACAAAGCAAACTCCAGCCAACCAGCTAAACCTGTTGCAAAGAAGAAAGACACTCCAGCAGGACCACCACCATACAAGCCCCCTCTGCCCTTTCCAGGAAGGTTCAAGAAACAACTGTTGGAAGCACACAAGGCCAAGTTTGATGAACTAATGAGACAGCTTGAGTTGAAGTTGCCCTTCATCGACGCCTTGATGCTCATTCCACCTTATCAGAAATTTCTGAAGGATGCTGTTCAGCAAAGAACCAGGGAAGCACAAGGGATGGTAGTGTTGACCGCGAGTGCAGTGCAATCATTCAGCGGAAGGTCATCTCCGACAAAAAGGAAGATCCGGGGAGTTTCACTTTGCCCTGCATGTTAGGACCCCTATCTTTCAAAAACAGTCTCTGCGATCTAGGATCATCTGTCAGCCTCATGCCTTTGTCTGTAGCAAAGAGACTGGGATATCACAAGTACCAAGCCTGCGGAATCTCACTAGTCTTGGCAGATAGATCGATAAGGTTACCAACTGGGATGCTTGAAGACCTGCCTTTGAGGATAGGGAATGTGGAGATCCCCACAGACTTCATTGTGCTTGAGATGGATGAGGAACCAACAGATCCATTGATTCTAGGAAGGCCATTCCTAGCTACAGCAAGAGCAATGATAGATGTCTGTGAAGGAACAATTGAGTTAAACTTGGGAAAGGACCTGAAGATGAAGTTTGATATAAAAGATACAATGAGGAAACCAACTATAGAAGGTCAGCTCTTTTATGTTGAGGAAATGGATCAGTTGGCAGATGAGCTTCTAGAAGAGTTATCAACAGAGGATCCACTACAAGTTGCTTTGACCAAGGATTCTTCAGAGGGATATGTGAGCTCAGAAACTGATGAGTACAAGAAGCTCCTTGACACCTTCAGACCAGTTCCAAACATTCTGAGCATTGAGGGATTGGACAGGCCAGTTTGCGAAGTCATGGCAGTGAGCTCGATCAAGAACTCGATCGAGTCGAGTTTCGAACAAACGAACTCGATCGAGCTGGGGCTGAATGCAAGGAGCAAGCTCAAGGAGATTGGTCTGAGCTAAGGCGCCTAAAGTCGACCTCAAACCTTTGCCTGAGGGCCTCAGGTATGCATTTCTGGGTGAAAACTCAACTTACCCTGTCATTGTGAACTCTGATTTGGAACCTGAACAGTTGAGTGCTTTGCTTGTTGAATTGAGAAGTACAGAAAGGCAATAGGTTACACTCTAGATGATATCAAGGGGATCTCCCCTGACCTATGCATCCATAGGATTCATCTAGAGGATGAAAGTAAGTCAAGCATTGAACCTCAGAGAAGGTTGAACCCCAATCTAAAGGAAGTAGTGAAGAAAGAGATACTCAAGTTGCTTGATGCTGGGATAATCTATCCCATCAGTGATAGCACTTGGATATCTCCAGTTCATTGCGTCCCAAAGAAAGGGGGGATCACTGTCATTAAAAACGACAAAGAGGAGCTGATTCCCACTAGAACAATAGTGGGGCATCGCATGTGTATTGACTATAGGAAGCTAAATTCAGCATCTAGAAAGGATCATTTCCCTCTCCCTTTCATTGATCAGATGTTAGAAAGATTGGCAAACCACCCTTTTTATTGTTTTCTTGATGGCTACAGTGGTTTCTTCCAAATCCCGATCCACCCTAATGATCAGGAGAAGACCACTTTCACATGCCCTTATGGCACCTTTGCTTATCGAAGGATGCCATTTGGGCTGTGCAATGCTCCAGCTACTTTCCAGAGGTGCATGACCTCCATTTTTTCAGATCTGATAGAGGAGATGGTAGAAGTCTTCATGGACGATTTCTCAGTCTATGGAGCATCCTTCTCCTCATGTTTGTCTAACTTGTGCAGGGTGTTGCAGAGGTGTGAGGAGACCAATCTAGTACTCAACTGGGAGAAGTGCCACTTCATGGTTCGAGAAGGGATTGTGCTTGGACACAAGATTTCCGAGAAAGGGATCGAGCTCGATCGAGCTAAGGTGGATGTCATGTTGCAGCTCCCTGTTCCCAAGACTGTGAAGGACATAAGGAGTTTTCTGGGTCATGCAGGGTTCTACAGAAGATTCATCAAGGATTTCTCAAAGATAGCAAGACCCTTGACAAGGCTTCTGTGCAAGGAGACAGATTTTGAGTTTGATGAAGAATGCCACAAGTCTTGGACCTTGCTGAAGGATGCTCTGGTGTCTGCGCCAATAGTACAAGCTCCAAACTGGGATCACCCATTTGAGATTATGTGTGATGCATCTGACTATGCAGTAGGAGCAGTGCTTGGCCAAAAGATAGACAAGAAACTCAATGTCATCTACTATGCAAGCAAGACTATGGATGATGCTCAGTGCAAGTATGCAACCACAGAGAAGGAACTCCTTGCCATAGTCTTTGCCTTTGAGAAGTTTCGAAGCTATATAGTTGGATCCAAGGTGATTGTGCACACTGACCATGCTGCCCTTAGACACATCTTCGCTAAGAAAGATACAAAGCCAAGACTTCTCAGATGGATCCTTTTGCTTCAAGAGTTTGATATAGAAGTTGTGGACAAAAAGGGAGTAGAAAATGGAGTTGCTGATCATCTCTCTAGGATGCGAGTTGAAGACATGATCCCCATCAATGATTCTATGCCTGAAGAACAGCTTATGGCAATCATGATCTTGAAGGAGAGTTTTGATGAGAAAGCCAGGCTGGAAGAAGTTAAGGCTCTGCGTGATGAGAATTTGCCATGGTATGCTGATATAGTGAACTTCATGGTGTCCGGAGAAGTCCCTAGTAGCTTTGATGCTTACAAGAGGAAGAAATTCTTCAAGGATGCTAGGCATTACTATTGGGATGAGCCCTACCTGTACAAGAGAGGACCAGACAGCATTTACAGGAGATGCATTGCTGAAGAGGATGTGCAAGGAGTTCTAGAGCATTGCCATGGGTCAGCTTTACGGAGGTCACTTTGCTACATTCAAAACAGCAACTAAGGTTTTGCAATCTGGGTTTATGGTGGCCTACTTTGTTTAAGGATGCAGCAGACTACATTGCCAAGTGTGATCCATGCCAAAGGAAAGGAGGGATCACCAAGAGGGACGAGATGCCACTAAACCCAATTCTAGAGGTTGAGATCTTTGATGTATGGGGAATAGACTTCATGGGACCTTTCAAACCCTCTTCAAACGGGCACAACTACATTTTGGTTGCTGTAGACTATGTATCCAAATGGATTGAAGCCATTCCCTGCCCAACCTGTGACGCCAAGGTGGTTGTCAAGCTTTTCAGAACCATCATCTTTCCAAGGTTCGGCATCCCAAGGGTTGTTATTTCGGATGGAGGCTCCCATTTCATCAACAAGGTGTTTGAAAAGTTGATGAGAAGCCATGGAGTCAAACACAAGGTCGCCACGCCTTATCACCCTCAAACCAGTGGGCAAGTTGAAGTCTCCAACAGACAGATCAAGGCCATATTGGAGAAGACTGTGAGCTTCACTAGGAAAGACTGGGCAGCAAGGCTTGATGAGGCACTTTGGGCTTATAGAACAGCCTACAAAACCCCCATTGGAAGGTCTCCTTTCAATTTGCTGTATGGGAAGGACTGCCACTTACCTGTGGAGGTCGAATATAAGGCTTTATGGGCAGTAAAGATGCTGAACTTTGATATAAAGGCAGCACAAGAAAGGAGGGTAATGAACTTGTTTGAGCTGGAGGAGATAAGAATGAATGCCTATGAGAACTCTAGGATTTACAAGATGAGAACCAAGGCAGCCCACGACAAACTGATTCGCCTTAAGGACTTCAAGGTTGGGGACAGTGTGCTCTTGTATAACTCCAAGCTAAGGTTGTTTCCCGGGAAGCTGAGGTCAAAGTGGGCGGGACCATTCAAGATTCACGAAGTTCTACCCTATGGGTCCCTCACTTTGCTCAATCAAGAGGGGAAGGAATTCACAGTGAATGGACATAGATGCAAGCCATATCTAGGAATGACCCCCACAGAGGAGATCATCACTCCTCTAGAAGATCCAACCCCGGCCTAAAAGGGGTAAGGTCAAGCTAAGAGACCTAAAACAAGCTCACTTGGGAGGAATTCCCATGTCTATCTTATGCATTTATACTTTATCCTTTTATTTTTATGATTTTTCTTGGCTAAGTCTCACAGGAGCAGGTTTTAGGAAGAGAGTGGCAACTCGAGGCACAACTCGATCGAGTCAAGAGCAAGCTCGATCGAGTGAGCCAACCCAGTTGAGTGGAGTGCTCCTGATGGCCGTCTCCCATCTCCAGACCACGACCTAGCCTCCCAGTTCTTTGGGGGACACTGAGGTATCCAAACACCAACCCTTGTATATACCATTTCATATTTTCTTGCATTTGTTCTTGTTTTTTCTTGGTTTTGCCCTCTTGAATCTTTCACTAAATTTTTCTCACACAAGGGACTGTGTGATTTAAGTTTGGGGGAGGGTTCAAGAGATGATTTAACCTTGTTTTCTTTGTTCTTAGTTTTTCATTTATCTTTTGCATAGAAAAACCAAAAAAATCATAAAATTTTCAAAAAATCCAAAAATATTTTCATCTTTTTGCATTCATATTTGTTAGACTTGTTTAGGATTGCATTTTTCACTTGCATTGTTGATTTGACTTTGAAAACTTGTCCATCTTTTGCGATTTCTTGAGTGCCCTGTTTTTAGATTCTTTTGTGCATTAGGGTGAGATTGATTGAGCAGCAAGAACCATGTTTATCTTGATCATATCACTGCATGCACATCTCATTCAACCATTGCTGTGATTTGATGCATTTCCCTATCTATTTGAACCATAACTTGATCTTTAATTACCAATGCTTGCATTTGATTTCAACTCATGGCTACCACATACATATCTGGACATTCTTTACTTTTCATATCCCTTTGCTTGTCCAGATAGCTGATCTCTATCTTTGAGACAGTTACCACACCTTAAACCTAAGCCTTTTCATTTCAAACCCCATATTATCTCTTGTGCGAATGTGAGAACCTTTCTTGGCTTTGCTTAGCATAAGGTGTTGTGTTTAAACCGGCAGGGGCAGTAGTTCTAGTTGTCTAGTTCTCTTGGGATTGTTTTCAGGCTAAGTTTGGGGGTGCCAACTCGAGCTCGATCGAGTTGGGTGTAAAAACCAGAAAAGTGGTAAAAGTTGGGAAAAACCCAAAGGAAAAAGAGTTTAGTTAAGTCCAGGGAGTTGGCAGTGTTAAAAAGGGTCTAGTAAAGGTTTGGGAAGTTAAAAAAGGAAAGTAAAAAGGGTTCTAAGTAGAATGAAAAGAAGGCAAAGCCTCAAGTGTCAAAAAGGAAAGAAAAGTTCCCTAAGTGTTTAGAAAATCCCAAACCGCTAGATGTTACCTCAAGAAGCCTCTCCCTAGGAAGTTCTTAAAAGAAAAGTGAGCAAAGCTCCTCAGTTTCAAAGGCGAAATGCCAAAAAGGGTAGTTAGGATTTTGTTCTAAAAAGCTCTAAGTGTTGAACTCGATCGAGTTAGGATTAGGCGGCTCGAGCTGCTGTTCTTGCATCATCTTTGGTTCTAACACTTAGCCTTCTGCCAAAGCAAAGCCACTTTCTTGAGAGATCCCTGTTACTAAACCACCATACAAAAGAGACCCTCTTTGTCTCTTAACCCATAAACCCTTGAAACCAAATGAGTTGATTGATCTTGCATGTTTTTGGTTCACTGTTTTTGCTTAATGAATGTTAAAGGGATTTGCTGATTTGAATGCATTGTTTGAGTGACTGTGAAGTGGGATTGATGTTGATAAGCATGGTTAAATCTTAATGAATATCTCTCACCTTGTTGCATTCTAGAATCTCTAAGTTGGACATTTAGCAAATCGCTTTTGAGGACATGTTTTTAAGTGTTGAATCAGCTATTTTCAAACCTCATCTCTTTCTTGTTCTATTTGTTTGCTTGAGGGCAAGCAAAGTTCAAGTTTGGGGGTGTTGATGTACTTGCATTTTACATAGTTTTAGCACATCTTTTATGCATCTTTTGCATAGTTTTAGCTTCCATTTGCATCATATCTTGTTCCTTTTCTCTTCTTATGCATTCATGTTAGTTTTAGGTTGCATTTGCATACATATGCATGTTTGGTCCTTTGAAATAGGTCTTTTGGAGCATTCTGGAGCATATGGGACATGAGGAGCATGGAGGGACTTGGCACATGGAAGCAGCTCAACTGGATACGCAAAGGAAGAAGGGAGAAGCCATCTTGAAGACCAGCTCGACCGTCTACTCGACCAACCGGTCGAGTTCCTCAACTCGACCGGCCAAGCTTCAACTCGATCGAGCTGAGAAGTCAAAGTCAAACCCGAAAAATGTTGCTTCCCCCTTGACTTCCTTTGACCCTAAACCTAATCCTCTTGTATTTAAAGGCTCTAAGCCACGAAAAAACCACCAAGCTTTAGATTATTTTGTTTTAGTTTCTTTAATTTATTGTCTTTTACTTTTTAGAACCTAATCCCATCTTTGTGTTCTTGAAGCTCTTGCTTCTTGAATCCTTAGATCCTGGATTAATCTTCTTTGTATTTGCACTTGCTTATTTCAATAAAAGTTGTTTAATTTCATCTCCTCTTTCTTATGATGTCTCTTTTATTGCATTTGCTTGTGTTTACATTCATGTGTAGTGAGTAGTTACCCATTAGGGTTTGAGATGGGATAGATTAGAGGTTTCATATGCTTAATCCTTCTAGCTTATGGTCTTAATCTAGATTCTCTCTCTTTTGGATAGATCTTAAGGCTACATGACCACTACCCCTGGCTTGTAAGTCCTTAGGCGACTCCCCACACGAAAGTGATGGCATTCGCTGGAAAAGATCCACTAAGAGCTCCAATATCTCTTGCTCTAGACATAGAGGTCTAAGGGGTTGGATGGATTAGTTTGGGCAATGATCCTATAGCCTCCAAGGTTTGATTCTCACTGGCTAACCCCCTGTTTCTGAGATCATTCCTTGGTTGATAGCCTCCACCTTGGGAAAGGGTTGGCTAGGCATTGAGAAGCCCAATATCAAGAGAAGCCTTGATACAAGGAGTTTTAAGAGCTAGATTGATTAAGTGTAGATTCCTTTGATTGCAAAACCCTGTCTTGAACCCTAATTCTCTCTTTATCTTGTTAAAGTCGTCACCTTTAGCTTTTTTGTCTCAACTCGTCCCTAAACTCGATCGAGCTGGTACTCTGCCTACTCGACTCGAGTCTTGGTCGAGCTGACTTCACTGCTTTGTTTACTTTTATTGCACTGCATTTCATTTTTAGGTTGTTAGTGTTACTTCAAATCTATAACTGCTTGCTTGACTTTCTGGTTGTTTCATATTCTCATAGAGTGACAAGTTTCCCATTTTGGATTGATAACCCTTTGTACTACATCAACTATCATGGTTAAAGGGAATTGTTGACTGTGTTTGTGTTTGCATCTTACCACTCATCATATACCACTGATTGCATTCCACTCATCTCATTTCATATCTTTTCACATCCACACACAAAACCTTATCATCAGGACCCTACCATTTTTAAATACTCCACATGTGACTTAGGAAAAGTATCATGCTAATCTTCTGTGGCCATAGCCCTATCTAACCGACACCGAACAATTTTTCCCCATCTCTTCCCCCGCCAAGATAACTTATTGCCATGATTTGGAAAATCTACTAGCCCGCAGTCATCTATCATAAGGTTGAAAGACATAAAAGTTGAGGCATACCGAATTGTCCCTCCCTGTTTCTCATGGTTTCCTGTGATTTCATTAAAGTCCCCTATCAAAAACCAAGGCTCATTTCGTGAAATACCTATTCTTGTTAACTCTTCCCACAAATAGTCTCTTTGTTTTGGGACTGGGTTTCCATAAACAAAAGACATAAACATAGTTTTTCCTTCAATAGTTACTTGTGTGTCAATTAAATTCTTGGAAGAAGTATAAAATTATTATTATAAAATAAGGCTAGACCACCACTTGTGCCACATGGGTCAACCGTAAACAAATTATCAAAGCCAAAATGAAATTGAAATTGTTGCAAAAAATTAAAATCCTTCTTAGTTTCAGAAAGAAATAAAAATTCTGGTCTGAACTTCCACCATACTTCCCGAAGATAGGTTATTGTGAACCTGTTGCCCAGTCCTTGGCAATTCCAGCTGAGAATCCGCATTAAGTCGCTTGAGAAGTCGCCTCCGATCCTTCCGCTGGATCGTCCTCCATACCATTCCCTGTGGGCTTATCTCCGATGCGAGAACTCGCCTTTACCGCCTGCTTCTTTCTTGGTGTTTTCGCGCCTTGCACAAAACGCTTCAAAGCTCCGCCACCAACACTCGCAGATGGCCGGACTGGCTTCTTTTTAACACCAACCTTCCTTGCAGTAACGTGTTTACCACGTCCCACTTCCTTTGCCTCTACCTCCACGAATTGTTCCGCCCCGAGATGCCTCTCCGATCCATTGGTTTCATCAATCTGCATTGCATTCTCTCCTTGTGACTCCGTTGGGTCCGCAGGCTCCTCTAACACTTTCTCAGCTTCTTCCTCTTCTATCATGTTCTCTGCTTCCCCTTCCTCGATCACTTCGTCCCACCATATCTCCCCATCCTCACCCTCCTCTTGTCCCATATTCTCGTTAACCGCCAAAACCGGCTCAAGTATGTTCGTCGAAACCTCCGGCGCAGCATCTTCGCCAACCTTCTCTCCCTCCGCCATCATCCTTCTGTTACCCGATTCATCCATTCCTTCCACCGCAGACGTGAAATCAATCGCCTTCCTCACCTTCTTCGCTGACTGTTGTGTCGGACTAGTACCACCCCCACTACCATTCTCCGTCCCATTTCCTTGAAGCCCCGTCGTCCTAATGGTCACCACCTGTTCCGCCGAGGACCTGAAGGTTGTCATCGGTTGATTGATCCTCTTTCTTTGATCGCGTGCCCCAAATCCCGCAGGCTTTCGCTGGGTACCAGAGGACTCACCTCTGTGCTTTCCATTACCACGGAAACCCGTCTGCCATTTCCCTCTCTCTTCCCGCTGTTCCACTGCCTTGCCTTTGCCTTTCGGATCCCCGACGACACCATGGTGAGTTTGTCTCACTGCACCGCTGTCTCCTCCGGGCCCATTAATTACCACCCCTTTGTAGCTCATAGCCCCACCATCCGGTTTCTCCTCCCGTCTCTTCTGGCTTTCCCGCTCCTCTCGAGCTCTCCGAATCACCTGAGGAACGTCATGACAGAGACTAGAACATTCCCGACAAACGCCAAACAGTCGCTCGTATCTAAGCGTGACCACCGTCTCCTCCCCACCATAAAATTCCACAGTTGTCTCAAAAATCAAAGGCTTATACCCCTCAAGGCACACTCGGACCCGACCTCCATCAATATCCACCTCTATCACCTCACCGATGGCTTCTCCGATGCTTCGAAACGTTGGCTCCGTCCAAAAATGCAATGGGATCCCCATCATCCGGACCCAAAACTTGATTGCCGAAGGATACGTTGGATCCACTACCGGCTCCCACCTCACCAATAATATCATCCAGTAGTCGAAGTGAAAAGGTTCAAGCTTGAAAACCTCTACAATGTCCTCTTCATTGTCAAAATCAAACTGGAACCTCCCCATTCCCAAATCTGCTCCGGCCACCCTTTCCTCCATCTTCCAGAAGCGAGGCATGTGATGCAGGAGAGCATTCACATCCTGAGCTGCCGGGTTCATACACCTTCCGATCATGGTTCTTGAGTAACCTCTGATGAGAGCCGTATTATCAAAGCGAGGCACCGTAATCTTCAAACGAAGTTATGTGATCTCGTGAATCTCGTACCCTCATTTCCACGGGAACCGTAGGATTCGTCGATCTTCTCCTCAATCCACCATAATAGACCCGAATAAATTAACTTTGAACCGATACCGAGATCTTCACCGAGATTCATTTGCAGATCTGAAAAATCGCCATCGCCGTCGCCGCTAGGTTTTTTTTGCGCATAAAACTAACAAGCTTTATATAAAATAGTTTAATAGTTTGAGTTAATCGATGATATGATGCCGAAGTTGGAAAATGGAAGCACATGATTGATTAAGTCGACGTTTCACTAAAGTGATCGTTGCTATGAGTTTATGAAGTCTCCTTTAGCCGCAGATTATCATCTCAAGCTCAAATTGGATGATTCCTATGAAGTCTGTGGTCATGTTCGTGGTTTGGTCTGCCTTCATGATCTCCGGAACGTAAAGGAAAAGCAAGAAACGGCTCATGTAATATGTAACCCAAGCACAGGACAGTTGTTGCCTTTACCAAAAGTGAAGACGAACAAGAGCGCGAGGAGTTTTCTTGGGTTTGATCCGACTGGTCAAGAATTCAAGGTATTGACCATAACCGGTGGGGTTGAGCATCGAGTTCTGACGTTAGGGACTCGAAAAATCGAATGGAGAATGATGGAATGTTGCATTCCAGATCATTATCCTACTAGATGTGGGATATGCATCAATGGTGGTGTGTATTATGAAGCTTGGGTCAAAAACTCGGCTCGTGCGATAGTTTGCTTTGATGTGAGGTTGGAGAAGTTTAGCGTTATTAACCCAGCTGAGGGCATGGATCTACTTCTTGATACTCTTGTAAACTACAAGGGAAAATTAGGTCTTCTTGCTAAAGAAAGCAGACGTTTTGAGTTGTGGGTTCTAGAAGACGCAGAGACACATGAATGGTCGAAGAATGTATCTGTATTGCCACTGCCTCTGTGGAAGAGTGTAGTAGCTGGAGAGGCCACGTTATACACTGTTGGAGTGGCTGGTGGTACCAACGAAGTTGTCTTGTGGCGGCACTCTGGATATGATCCGTTGTATGTTTACTACTACAACATGGAGAAGAGTTGACATGAACGCGGCGGCTAGGGACTATGGAGGTGACATGACTGTAGACTATGTAGAGGACGTGAAGCTTATGGAACATGTTTAGGACTAACTTGAGAGATAGATCAATCCGGTCTTTCCATTTCTAGCATTTCTTGTTTTTTGTTGTTTCTACCTTAAGTAAAAGAAGTGAAGTTACTTTCAGTTTATGTGTAACTGTTTGTAACATTTTATCTACTTGATATGAGCTGTAAAAAGCTAACAAGTGTGGCAGATTCAACGAGGGGATGATAGAAACTCTTCTTATTACAAAGTCTTCAAATTGTAATCCGAAACAGACAAGTCTCAGATGAAATCTTTTGACGCTAAACAAAAAATCAAAGAGGGAAGAGTGTTAGATTTCAAGAAATGATGAGAATGTTAGTTATATGATATCAAGCAGCATAAGAAGAAGAAGTTGATAAACTTGAAAGGCTATAGTGACTGATTAGTCAAATTATCAAAAAAGGTTACTTGTTTTCACACTTTGCTAATTGGATAAAAAATATTACTTGTATTTGCTACTCTAAGTAAGGGCTGTGAAGTTACTTGTGTTTAATGTATTTCCATGAAAATCTTTTAAGTAAGAGAAGTGAACTTACTTTCACTTTATGTGTTTATATATTGTTCTAACATCTTAGATTCAACGAGGTGGATGATGTAAAGTCTTGTTGCACCAAACTAATGCAAAACAAGAGAAGTGTAAGATGCGCAAAAGTCAAGAAGAGAAGGTTTCAAGATTCAAGAAATGACCAGAATGAGATTTATCGAGAAGAAGATGTTGAAACTTGAAAGGCATAGTCAAATTATTATGATCGGCCGGGTCGGGTCGGGTTGGGTCAAAACAAGTATGGGCCGGTTCGGTTCGGGTCGGGTCGTATCAGGTTGGAACATAAACCAGAAACTAAAACAGGGTGTTTTAAAAAAGCCCTAGTTTGGTTGTAAGTAAGCAAATCGTGGGAAGCAGCGAACAGCCTCAAGGTTTTATTTCTCTTTCTTCGTTTTATATTCTTTTCTGAAACGAAGTGTAGTTTTCGCCGACTGAGGGAATCCAAGTGTTCAAAACGCCATGAAAACACGGCGGCGGCAGTACGTCTCTCGACCTTCTTCGACCTCATCATCGAGTGCAAAAGAAGAAAACACAGAGACGATCTCAACTGATCTCATGATCGAAATCTTCTTGAGATTGCCTGGGAAGTCTGTAGCGAGAAGTCGCTGTATCGAAGCTCTGGAATTTCACGCTTCGCGGTCCGTATTTCACGGAACTCTTCTTGACCATGTCTTTGACTCGCCCTCGGCTCTTGTTCTCCTTCGTAACAGACAGTGAGCTCTACTTCTTCTCGGCACCTCAAGGTGAGAGCTCGTCGTCTCCTGTGGCCGCAGATTATCATCTCAAGTTCAGTTTAGATGATCCATACAAAGTTTGTGGTCATGTTCGTGGCTTGGTCTGTCTCTCTTATCTTCGGGTTTTGAAAGAAAGGAACGAAACGGCTCATGTGATATGTAAACCAAGCACAGGACAGTTGTTGCCTTTACCAAAAGTGAAGACAAAGAGGAGCTTTAGCGTGTATAGTTTTCTTGGGTTTGATCCGACTGATGAAGAATTCAAGGTGTTGACCATAACCGGTGGGGATGATCATAGACTTCTAACGTTATGGACTCAAAAACTTGAATGGAGAATGATCGAATGTGGCATTGGACGTCATTATCCTAGTAGAGATAGTGATGGGATATGCATCAATGGTGGTGTGTATTATATAGGTCGTTTTTATAGGAATAATGATGATGAGCCTGATCTTGCGATAGTTTGCTTTGATGTGAGGTTGGAGAAGTATAGAGTTATTAACGAAGCAGAGGACATGCATCTGCTAGTATCTACAACTCTTGTAGACTACAAGGGTAAGCTAGGTGTTCTTATTGAAGAAAGCAGACGTTTTGAGATGTGGGTTCTGGAAGACGCAGAGACGCATGAATGGTCGAAGAATGTATCCGTATTGCCACAACCTCTGTGGAAGAGTGTAGCTGGAAAGGCCAAGTTATACATTGCTGGAGTGGTTGGTGGTACTGATGAAGTTGTCTTGTGGCCGGAATCTGTAAATCCGTTGTATGTTTACTACTACAACATGGAGAGGAACACTTTCAGAAGAGTTGAGATCAAAGGAATGGAGGCGGTTAGTGACTATACAAAGCACATGACTCTTGACTATGTAGAGGACGTGAAGCTTATGAAATATGTTTAGGAGTCATTTGTAGTGTTGCTACCTTAAGTTAGTTTCAGTTTATGAGTTGTAAAAAAGCTATAACTCGTGTGGCAGATTCACCGAGGGGATGATATAAACTCTTGTTGTTGCAAACTCTTCAAATACTAATGCACTATATGACATCTTTTGACGCTAGATCAAAGAGAGAAGGATTTTAGATTCAAGAAATGATCAAAATGCTAATGATCAAGAAGAAGTTGAAAAATTATAGTGACTAGTCAAATTATTAAAAAACTTATCAAATTGAGAGGTTTCTTTTGGTTTCTAAGATTTTGTATACCATATATTTAAGTATTTGAATTTAACCAAAAAGATAAGATAAAGCTATTTACGTTTTAATATTTTTAGAACAACATATATATTCTTCCTTGAATAATTTTTTTGGGAGAAAAATGTATAAAGACAAAAAGTTGACTGTTTCAGTATTCTTTGGTTTCCATCACTCATCGAGTAAAGAAATATTAAATACATAACAAACAAACAAAATATTCGAAGGGTTAATTTGGTGAATAATCATATTGGAAAAAAAAAAAGAATATAGCCATAACAAATGTTTGGCTATATATAATACATAAATATATTCACACAAAATTACTTATATTAAGCCAAGAAATACTATACTACATTATTGTTGTTATAGAACAAAACTTCTACTAGATATTTATAGTTTAAATTTTAGGGTATGGAGTAATTTTCGAATTTAGGGTTTATATATTGGTTTTATGATTTATATTTTGGGTTTTAGGTTTAGGGTGTAGAATATAAAACCAAATACTAAACACAATAATAATCTAAACCCTAAACCCAAAATCTAAACCAAAAAGACTGAAAAGCCTAAACTGAAAAACCTAAACACTATATTCTAACCAAGACTTTCATATGGTTAATTTGTTAATTTTGGTTGCCAATATGATTATTGACTATAATTTCCCAATTTCGAAATCCAATAACAAATAGCATAATGACAAAATCTTTGTTCATCTGATGTACCATATAATTAAACTCACCTACACCATTTAATACTTTAATTTAAAACTATAAAACTTCAAAAGTATCGGAAAAGCTATATGTCTAAACTATAACTTGTATTTTTAAAGTTTTACTAGGGGGTAACCCGCAATACGCGCAGGTTGTGTTAATTTTATTCTTTTTCCGCAAATTTAAATTGTTTCGAAGATTATACACATAATACTTAAATATAATTAAAGTTAGGCAAAAAAAAGTGTACCATCTTGTTCTATCTCGTCCCATTTCGTTCATTTTCATCATGTATATTCTTTCCCGTCCCGTTTGTCCTGCATGTCCCCGTCCCGTTCAGTCTCATCCTTTCCCATTATGATTCTTTCCATTTTGTTTATTCTTGTCTCGTTCCCTAAATATAATTAGGGGTATACATAATTCTATCATATTCAGTCCCTTTTCAACTTGTCATGTTCTTTCCCATCCCGTTCGTTCTGTCTGGCCCATCCAATCCCATCATATCTTATTATGTTCCTTTCCATTTTGTCTTATATATGTCTCGTCTCTAAATATAATTACGGGTAGGTAAAATTGCTGTTCCGTCCCTTCCCGTCCCATTGTGTCCTTTTTCATCTCGTCTCGTCTAATCCCCTCTCGTCCAATCCCGTCCCGTCCATTCCCGTCACATTCCAATTCTTTTCATTTTGTTCCGTCCAACAATTCTGTCTTGTCCTCTCTCATCATGTTTATTTTTCGTTTTTTCCGTTCCATCCCTAAATATAATAAGGTAGGCGAGATTTCTGTCTTGTTATATTCCGTTTTTTTCGTTCCTTTAGATCTAGTCTCGTCACTTAATATCATAAGAAGTAAACAAAATTCTCTTATTCTCCGATTCTATTTTTTTTTCGTCTCGTCATATTCAATCTGGTCTCTTTTCATTCAAAAAACTATAGAAAAAACAGTGTTCTTTGTTTAATATATTATTATTATTATAATTATTAAATATTTTTTTTAAAGATCTATATATAATATTTCTTTTCTTTTATAAAAATGACTTTTTAGTAAAAACTATTGTATTATTTTATGATTATATTAATAAATGATTAGAAATAATTAATATATAAAAAGATAAAATATAATAAATTCAAATTAAAAACTAAATTCCCCGCTTTGCGCGGGTCACCTCCTAGTAGAATCTATTAGATTCTTAGTATTCTATCCAACATTGTATAACACATTTTTATTTTTCGAACTTGTGTTTTAACTTCTAACTTGATGGCAGTGGCAGAGCCAGCTCTTTGGGACGTGGGTCAGTTGACCCACGTGAATTCTTGATAAAGCAAAAAAAAATTACATGTATTTAGCTAAAAAATCTGATTAACATTAGCTTATTGACCCATGTTATTATCAATTTGACCCAAGTTAATTTGGTTTCTAGCTCGGCCACTGCTTGATGATCTTTTTATACACACACATATTATATAAACACACGAATAAAAATATATTAAAAAATTCCGGTTTTGTGCCAATTATTCGAATTGGCAGCTTGGAGTTCTTATTCTCTTTGTTAACTTTTCCGACTCATGATTTATACGAAGCCCATGAGAAAACAATTTGTTGGGGATTGTGGGCTAAATTATACGAAGCCCATGATAATTTTAAGTAAAGATAAAGGTTGCTGGCAATTTGCTGAATTTAGAAGGTGTCTCTTTTACTGAGATATCCCTAACAGAATAGAATGACACCAACTTTATATATATAGATATTTATATCATCATTTAAAGTTAACCAGCATAATACATGTTGACAAAAAAATGGATACATAAGTAAAGACATTAATTAAAATAACTCATCCTCTTTGGTTGAATATACATTTATGTAACATTAATTAAAGGATTTATTAAAAGGGTTGGTTTAGGAACATCTATCTCTGTTTGGGAAGATTCTTGGATTCCAACTTCTACTCCAAGACTAGTTACAGGATACAGGATTAATTACTACCCTCATTTCCGGGTGAGAGTTAATAAATCTCAGTACAACAACGTGGAATTTACCACTATTGAATCAATTGTTCGACAGCAAGGATGTCTCTATCATTCTCGGGATCCCCACCTCAAATGTTGCCTGACCAGACTCCATGGGAAGGTTTTTTACGAAGACAGGTCGATATACGGTGAAGTCGGGTTACACGATTCTACAACAAAGTTTGGACGCTATTAGGCCTATTTTTTTGGGCCCTGATATACCGTGCCTTCAAGCACAGGTTTGGAAGGTACAATGTACTCAGAATTTACAGCATTTTCATTTGGCAAGCTCTGACGGGATGTATAGCGGACGGGGCAAGACTAAGAGTCGCGGTATGCAGATAGACCCACAATGTATGCGGTGTGGAATGGCGACAGAAACAGTGAACCACACACTGTTTGAATGCCCACCGGCACTCAAGTTTGGGCTCTATCTCCAATCCAACGGCTCCCCATCGGTTCCCCACAGGAAGCTTGTTTGCAAATATAGCATATCTTTTTTGGCATCTGCCAAACGATGATAGGATGAAATTATATCCTTGGTTAATTTGGTATATTTGGAAATTACGAAATGATAAGGTTATGGCGAATGTGGATTGGGACCCACATGAAATAATCATCAAAGCAACAGCGGAATCCTCAGCATGGGTCACCGCACAGGAAAAATATGTGACAGTATGTCCACTATTAGCGACCCAAGGGGAATCATCTCGAGAGGGAGATACTTGCCAGGTAGATGGGGCTTGGAAAGAGACAGAAGCCGAGCTGGGCTAGGATGGTTTTATTTAAATATTAATACCCAGGAAAGCGTATGGGAACTTGTAACTTAAGAGGGGATATCGCCCCTACAAAGGAGTTGGAGGCACTTATTTGGGCCATGCAATGCATGCTAAGGCATAACAAATTGATAATGTTGTTTGAGACGGACTGCTCTGATGTGGTGAAGATGGTGTCTACGCCAGAGGAGTGGCCGGCGTTCGCAATACTTCTTGACGAGGTTGACCGGTGTAAGCGGAGGTTTACCTCTTTTTCCATCGCGCACATACCTAGGATGAAAAACACGAAGGCAGACAAGCTAGCACGTAGTGCTCGAGCTCTACCTATTGATGTGTATTATGTAAACTCTGTTTCACAGTTTGGATTCCCGAACTGATGTAGAAATAGAGGCTGACGACAAAAAAAACACACACACACACAAACACACACAGAGAAGTGTAAGATGTGCAAAATCAAGATGAGAAGGTTTCAAGATTCAAGAAATGACCAGAATGATAATTATCGAGAAGAAGAAGTTGAAACTTGAAAGGTTATAGTGATAAGTCAAACTAATAGAGGGTCCGCGCAAACGCGCGGTGTGATGTTGCAATTTTGTGAATAAAATCTAAATCCTAAACCTGAGCCGGACCCAAAAACCTTAATCAAAATTTTTGAAAACCCAAACGTTTTTAATATGTCTAAACCCGAAAATTCGAAATCCAAAAAATCCCGAAAACCCTGAACCAAATAAAAAAAACTCTAATTTTTTGACCTGAAACCCTAATCCGACCTAAAAACCCTAAACAAAATTCAAACTTTTTTAATATGTCTAAATCCGAAAACCCGAAATCCAAAAAATCCGGAAAACCCTGAACTGAACCCAAAAAACTCGAACTCAACCGAACGATATTTTCAAAAAAACCCACCGATGAGAAGTTTTCAAAAAAACCCGAACAATTTCTATATCTCTATATATCTATAAAATTAGGTCTGAGATTTTCACCCAAACCCGAACTTGTTTAGAAAAACCCAAACCAAACCCGATTCAGAAATTTAAAAAACTTGAACGACTTTTATATCACTAAACCCAAAAACCAAAAAAAACTTTAAAAGAAACCTGAATTGAACCCGAATTAAAATTTAAAAAAAACTTTAAACCCGAAAATCCAAAATCATATTCTATTGATTTGGTATTATCGTTAGATTATATTAAGTTTTTTTTTTGCAGATTTTTAAGAGCTGGAAAACGGAAGTTTTCTAAACCATCGGTTTGTTTTAAGTTATTATTCTTGTATCCAAACAATTTTTTCAATTTATTCTTCTATCCAAATAGTTTTTTCTCTTATTCTTGTATCCAAACATTACAATGTACTAAATTGACCTCATTAACTTTGTTGCCAAACATTTTCTCTTCATAATTAGATTGGTTTTTTTGGTCATAAATTTTTCATGTATTTTTCAATTAATAATATAAAGATTATTATGATAGGCAGGTCGAGTCAAAACAAGTATGGGCCGGGTCGGGTCGTATCAGGTTGGATCATAAACCAGAAACTTAAAACAAAGTGTTTTTTAAAAGCCCTAGATCCGACATTCTTTACAATATTCTTGTATCAAAGTTTTCAAGTTTGCAATCGTGGGAATGAAAACACGGCGGCGGCAGTACGTCTCTCGACCTTCTTCCACCTCAACTCGACGATCTCAACTGATCTCATCACCGAAATCCTCTTGAGATTGCCGGTGAAGTCTATAGCGAGATGTCGCTGCGTATCGAAGCTCTGGAACTCCACGCTTCGCGATCCGTTATTCACTGAGCTCTTCTTGACCATGTCTTCGGCTCGCCCTCGGCTCTTGTTCTCCTTGGTAGAAGACCGTGAGCTCTGCTTCTTCTCAGCACCTCAAGGTGAGAGCTCGTCTACTGTCGCCGCAGATTATCATCTCCAGTTCACATTAGATGATTCATACAAAGTTTGTGGTCATGTTCGTGGTTTGGTCTGCCTTGCTGATCAAGAAACGGCTCATGTGATATGTAAACCAAGCACAGGACAGTTGTTCCTTTACCAAAAGTGAAGACGAAGAAGACCTTTAGCGTGTATAGTTTTCTTGGGTTTGATCCGACTGATGAAGAATTCAAGGTGTTGACCATAACCAGTGGGGTTCAGCATCGAGTTCTGACGTTAGGGACTCAAAACTTGAATGGAGAATGATCGAATGTGGCATTGGACGTCATTATCCTAATAGAAATAGTGACGGGATATGCATCAATGGTGGTGTGTATTATATAGCTCGCTTATTGGTGCAATGGACGGCACTCATTGTACAGTCATGGTGACGGGTGTGAAGCAGCTCGATTTTACAACAAGCATTCCCAAACAAGCATTAATGTTTTGGCGATATGCAATGATGATATGTTATTCACTTACATATTTGTAGGCTGTCCTGGATCAGTACATGATGCTAGAGTTTTGTCGTATGCAATGGAGCGTGATTCAACATTTCCGACTCCTCCGCCGTCCAAGTACTATCTTGTTGATTCTGGTTATGCTAACACAAGAGGATATTTAGCTCCATTTAGAGGTCATAGGTATCATTTGCCACATTTTCAAGTAGGCTCTCCACCTAGAGATGAAGAAGAGTTATTTAATAGATGGCATTCTTCTCTCCGCTCAGTGATCGAACGAACATTTGGAGTTTGGAAGAAAAAGTGGAGAATTTTATCAGAGTTTCCGAGATATGATCTGGATACACAAAACGATATAATCATAGCGACAGCTGGTTTGCATAACTTCATTCGTCTTTCTCAAATTCCAGATTTGATGATGCTTTACATGTTGACGCAATTCCAAGAGAACAATTTAATAACAATGGAGAAGGTGGAGAGAACGAAGAAGTAAACTATTTGCAAGAACAAGAAGAAACAACAGATGGTGCTTATATGCAAGCAATACGAGATGGAATTAAGCAGCAAATATGGGATAATTTTCATTAATGAGTTGTTAAAATCAAATATTATATTTTAAATGTATTTTTTTTATGTGTAATAATATGATTCCAAATTTAAATATTTGACATATGTTTATAATTTGTTTGATTAAATATTGTATATAATTATTTCATAACTATATATTTTATTTCATCAATTGCAGAGTAAATATTTTGTTATTTTCTTATATAATTTTTTTTATTTACTTATTCTGCATTCAGCAACATTCAGCTGTTACCATTCATATCACTAATTATTCAGCCAGATTCTGCAAAAAATCATCATTTTATTCTGCCAGATTCCGCATTCCGCAACATTCTGCAGTTACCATTTAGACCCATATATATAAATATATCCAATTCATTAACGTGATTTGTTTGTTTTTCAAATCACCAGAGGATATCTTAATAGCTTTATTTTTAGGATGAATTAGGTAGATAACCATATTGGGTTGTATATTTAAGCTTATAGCCATCATAATATTTAAATTAACTGAGTAGCATAGATATTTTTGTGGACAATTTTACCCTTGAAAGCAAGAGAGAAATAACGAGAGCACCACATAGATCATAGAACAACACAACGATACAATGTTGGTGTAAGGTGATTTCAAAATGTTGCTAGTTCAGAAGTCACGATTAATCGTAGTTGCTACATGTCATTAACAAATGAAATAGACTGGGAAACAATGGAATAGAATTACAAATGAAAAAAAAAAAACTGCAAAATGATGGAGGAAGAAGACATTGATGCAAGAATGGTAGCTTTCTCCGAGAATTGAAAAGATTTGAAGATATTGTCTTGTAAATTTTGTGATTTTAGAGCTAAAGGCGTGAAAGATGAACTCTATGTTGCCTTCTCTTTCATTGTCTCCATCACCATCTTAAATGCTACCAAACAAACTTATCATCTTGCTCTTGATTTTATTTGCCGTTTCTTTCGAATAGAAATCATTAACAGTAATCTATGCACGGATTTTCGCATAAATCTGAACCAAATCTGAACCAGTTTGACCGTAGGAAACCGACGAGCCGACAAGCTTTATTTCTTCATCGCCGCCAATTTCAGGATAAAAAAAATAAATCTATGGAGAAACAATGATGAGAAGTAGCAACGAGACAGAGCTGCAACTGTCAAACTTGTACAAAGGTTTAAGGAGTTAGTGTTGTTTTCTGGTGATTGTTTTCATTTCTTGACATTGTCGGAGCTATCCGAAGGGAATTTTTTTTTGTTCTTTCTCCATAAAGGTTAATTTGGGAATTATTGTAGAAAATACACTCTGTATTCTATCCATGGTCTTGATATGGTCAGTTTGTTAATATCATGTTTTTGTGTGGTTATTGACTTATATTTCCCTTATTTTTATAGATTTATCAGTCTTTAAACAAAACAAATAGTTTTTGGTGTCTCTAAAAATATATTATATAGTATGTGTCTCTGTTAACATTGACCGTGGCGATTTGGTATATATACCAGCACGCAAATGCACGCACCTACAAGGCTAAATCGTTGTTTTTACTTCATTTTATTTTCTTCGTACATGGCTGTATCTTTGCTCACGATATCCAAAATTCGATTGAAATTCTTTGCGATTATTTAAACTGGCGGAACATGCATGATTCGTTTCTATTCCAATTATTTAAATATAGCACTCAGAAAAAGATAAAATATTTGGATGATGATGTTAAATGAAAAATTAAAATACATTAAACTTTAAATATTTGAATTGATTTTCAAAAGACATTTGCAAAGAGATGTTCCCAACATGACTTACCCAAAATTGATTGTCCTCTCTGTACCAGTGTTCCACTTGATTGATTGAGACTCGAAAGTTTCTAAACTAATAAAGGGTCTAAATGGTAACTGCAGAATGTTGCTGAATGTTGCGGAATGCGGAATCTGGCAGAATAAAATGATGATTTTTTGCAGAATCTGGCTGAATAATTAGTGATATGAATGGTAACAGCTGAATGTTGCTGAATGTTGCTGAATGCAGAATAAGTAAATAAAAAAAATTATATAAGAAAATAACAAAATATTTACTCTGCAATTGATGAAATAAAATATATAGTTATGAAATAATTATATACAATATTTAATCAAACAAATTATAAACATATGTCAAATATTTAAATTTGGAATCATATTATTACACATAAAAAAATACATTTAAAATATAATATTTGATTTTAACAACTCATTAATGAAAATTATCCCATATTTGCTGCTTAATTCCATCTCGTATTGCTTGCATATAAGCACCATCTGTTGTTTCTTCTTGTTCTTGCAAATAGTTTACTTCTTCGTTCTCTCCACCTTCTCCATTGTTATTAAATTGTTCTCTTGGAATTGCGTCAACATGTAAAGCATCATCAAAATCAAAATCTGGAATTTGAGAAAGACGAATGAAGTTATGCAAACCAGCTGTCGCTATGATTATATCGTTTTGTGTATCCAGATCATATCTCGGAAACTCTGATAAAATTCTCCACTTTTTCTTCCAAACTCCAAATGTTCGTTCGATCACTGAGCGGAGAGAAGAATGCCATCTATTAAATAACTCTTCTTCATCTCTAGGTGGAGAGCCTACTTGAAAATGTGGCAAATGATACCTATGACCTCTAAATGGAGCTAAATATCCTCTTGTGTTAGCATAACCAGAATCAACAAGATAGTACTTGGACGGCGGAGGAGTCGGAAATGTTGAATCACGCTCCATTGCATACGACAAAACTCTAGCATCATGTACTGATCCAGGACAGCCTACAAATATGTAAGTGAATAACATATCATAATTGCATATCGCCAAAACATTAATGCTTGTTTGGGAATGCCTGTTGTAAAATCGAGCTGCTTCGCCACCGTCACCATGACCGTACAATGAGTGCCGTCCATTGCACCAATAAAACCATTAAAATAAGGCCAGTATTGACGATTATCTCGTAAACCTCGGGTACTTGTCGTAGTTGCTCTGGAGACTGCTTTCTTAATAATTTTCCACTTAGTTTCTTACATGCTTTTAGACACTGTTGAAACTTGCGTCCAACCGTTTCTTGTGCTCGTCCGAATAATAGCCCAACCGAATGTTGTGTCATGTTATGACCACATATCACGAGAAACATTGCCACGGTTTCTTCCACCGATATGTTTTTGTGCTTTTCACTCCAAAATCTGCACGCAGTGTGTTCACATAGACGTGTAAAAACTTCAATGCATCCTCAAAAGATGCAAGCAATCTCTTGGATAATTATAAATTCTTGTTTCAATGTTGCTCCATCCTAAACCCCATTCAGTACCCATTGGCTGTCGATCAAAATACATTTTATAATAATCTATCACAGGCCTGAAGAGTAGTTCCATGATATCCACGTGTTCCAGAAAAATTAGTTCAAGTAGCTCATCATTTGTGAGGTTATGTAATCCACGTGAATACAACTCGAGAATACGAGAAACCTGGAGATAAAAAACAAACTCATTAATAAACACATTAAACAACAACAAAAATAATAGTACTTCCAGAAAACAATATATGGAACATATAAACACGTTAAAACTAAAATATTAATAGATTTAATTGTCTCCATTATTATCATTGTTTCTAACGTTACGATTGAAATCAGACAAATTGAAACGTCCGAGTAACTCAGATGAAGACGCAGGTCTATATTCAAACCCTTCATCAGAGACAACTCGGGGATTTAAATTCTCATCAAATTGTTGTTGAGAATTTGGAACTTGAAATCCTTGTCTTCTTCTGAATTGATTCGGAGAACCGGAACCACCAAAATTCGAAAACCCTCCCAAGTTTGAAGGACCTTCACTGCCAAAATTTGAAGTTCCCCCAATGTTTGAAAACCCAGCATTACTAAACTGTGAAAACCCTCCTACGCCAGGCGAACCAGATCCACTACCAAATGATCCTCTACTACTTGGTCCGCTAGAACCACTGAGTTGACGTTTCCACGGACTACCCCGAAATGTTCCACTACGATCATACCCTGTCACACCTTCAAGAAAACGAATCCTCTCTTCGTCTCAAAAAATCAGTAAATTTTTCTATGTTTTGCAAGTTGTTTAGTTGCAACCAAGATTCACGCTCATAATCTTCATTCGCTTGGCTACGTGCATTGAGCATCTGGATTGGCGTTTGCATAGTTGCAAGATACGACTCAATATTTGTTAGGTGTGTGTCCATAACAGCTCTTCTTCGCGGGGTTTGTGTTGTCTGGCGGCTAGATTGGTTTCGTCCCCTACTATTAGTTCTACCACCTCTGTTACCATGTTGCCTAGATCGTCGGTTATGTGTAGGTATCTCAATCGGCACTGATGGCTGATTTCCCATCGATTGATGTGGTCCTGATTCTGGTATACCATAAATATCGTCTTCTTCATTGTTATCACCTTCTTCTGCAAACTCTTGTTCTTCTTCGTCATCGTCACTTTCACAATTTCATCTATTTGACTTGCTGAAACCATATTGTCATTCACAGCACAATGAGGACCGTACACCTTATGCATCAACTCTATGCATGGTAGAGGATTTTTTCTTAATCTTGATGCTCCTTCGGTATCCTACAAAATATACATGGTAAAAGTTGTTAAAAAAAATTAAAACTATTTTTCTTTAAAATACAAATATGAAGTCAATTCTTGAAAGAAATAATCATACCTTTACTCGATCTTTCCACCAACTTGTATCCATAATTATTCTTCCGGTTTCGCGATCAATATTTGTACCAGTACGACGAACAAGTCTTTGATATACGGCATACAATGTTCTAAAATCATCATGTTTACTCTTACATTTATCCCAATCAATTCTATGCCCTGTTTGCTCGCAGAACTTCCTTACTATATTGTTTTTACCCTCTTTATATGGTAAAGTTGAGATATAATTTATTTTTTGCAATTCTTCATCTAATAATTCAATGAATAAGGAGTTTAATTCGGGGACCATCTAGAAAAAGTCTACAATTATAAAATTAAAAACATAATTAATTAATTGTTTATAAATAATACATTAAAAACTCAAAATCATTCAAATAATATTACCGCATTGTTTTGGTTTGATGGTCCAGCACCTGTGTTTCCCGCACCGCTCATTTTTGTTCTGATAAATAAACAAATCCACATGAAAAGAAACAATTCAGCAATTTGTACTTTAGTATTTTTTTAAAATACAGAAAATTAGAAAATAGTCCATTTAAAAAAAACTGTATAAATTTACATCCCCATATTTCGATATTTTATTTCTTCATGGTAATAAGAAATATCTATTAATACATATTAATAATCTTTTTTTTTTAAGATTTAACACAATTTTTGTTTTTTAAAAAACCACATACGTTCTAATAGAAAAAAGAAAAATCTTAATAATAATTTGAGCATATAAACATATATAATATATATACCAATACATTTCTAATATAAAATTATATTTTTTATCAGGTTTCATAAGTTTTTAAAATTTGCACCATTTTATATGAAAATAAAATCACTTACTTCTTTTAAAATTTAATTAGAATGATAGTTAGTTTTAAAAATATTTAAAATTTTGTTACTTATCTATACACTGTTTTCTGTAAATAAAAAAGCATCAACATTAAAAGTAATTAAAAGTTTATTTTTACTTTAATATAAAATCTGGGATTAGTTTTTTTAATAAATATAGTTGAAAATGTTTGTTATAATTATATATAAACATGAACTTTGAAAAAGAAAAGAACTTACTAGTTTGAAGTCTCTGGTGAAGAAATAGAGTGAATAAGTGAGAGTGAACAAGTGAAAAAATAGAGTGAACGAAGTGAAGAAATAGTTTAAACTTGTACTACGAAGTAATAGAGTGAACAACTGATATGGCTTCAAGAACATAGAGTTCTTCTTTTATAAACGCAACTAAAATACATCCGTGAACCTTTTTTGTTTTTTTGTTTTTTGTTTTTTCCAATTATAGATCTTGATTCTCTCAATTTCTTATTTATAGAAATTAATAAAACAAGAAGAAACTGTAGTATTGTGTCTTTTTGTGCATTTATTGATATTATTGTGTTCTGTTTCTTTTTCTGTAAATGAATTGGGTCCCACCTGTCTTCATTTCTTTTTTTTTTGGACAACGAATTTTAAACTATTCTGTACTTATTCTACAGATGTAACTGGTAACATCTTTTAGAAATTAATCTGAATTCATCCAGATTCTTCAATTAATCTGTTACCATTTACACCCATAATTAAACTCACATACACCATTTAATACTTTAATTTAAAACTATAAAACTTCAAAAGTATCGAAACAAGCTATATGTCTACTCTAAGACTATAACTTGTATTTTTTATGTTTTATATTTATATCATCGTTTAAAGTTAACCAGCATAATACATGTTGACAAAAAATGGATACATACGTAAAGATTAACTAAAATAACTCATCCATCCTCTTTGGTTGAATTTACATTTATGTAACATTTTGAGAACCAAAATGTCAAAATCTAACACACAATGAGACTAACACACACGTAGCTAGTGCTGACTGCTGCTGTGTCGTTTGGCTCACATACAAAAGAGATAATTAAATCATTTAATGGAAGTAAATTTATAAAAAGATAAAACTTAAGATTTGGTTGGTTTTTAGAGCTTCTGGTTTCGAGGTTTCGCCACCATGCAACTTTCAGAGCTTGATGCTTCATTACTGCATCGTATAAAGGTATTTAGATTTCTGCATTTAACCCCCAAAGATTTCTAAAGATTGGAAGTTTGTCAAGTTAAAGATCTCTTTATCATACACCGATACACGTTTATGAAGAACACCGAACATGCAAAACAGGTAACCAAAAAGAAAACTCGAAAAGACAACAAACAACAAAAAAGAGAGATTCGTTAATCTCCATTTTGTACACCTAAACTCAACACAGAGCCAAAAAAAAACATAACCATCATTTCATTCACTCGCTACACACGAGTCCTAGCTCAATCTTACACGTGTCCTCCTCATCGCACGTGCCACACCTCTCTAGCTTCCTTTTCTTCATCGGCACAACCACATGACTCCCACGTGCCACCGGAGGCTCCAACCCCAAAGTCAGCTCGAGCCCGATCCAAGCTGGTTCCTCCGTCGTCATCGTCGTCTCCTCCGACGAAACCATGCTCCCTTCATCCTTCACCACCGTCGACTCGTGACTCAGTGACGACTCGTGACTCAGCGACGACCTCACGTTTCTCTCTTCTTTGCATGCACCACCACCACGGCTCGACCTACACCGACTCTTCACGACGTTCTCGTCTCTCGACACGTGTCGTATGTCGAAGAGCTTGTTGCTGTTGTTAAAAGGAGGAGCTTGACCAGTAAGCGCCGCGTCGCATGCGATTGGAGTCACCGGAGAGCCTCTCATCACAGCCTCCACGGCCGCTTGACAAAGATGCCAATTTCCTGACCATAACAACCCGACGGATCCGTAAATCGGATTCACAATCCTCCCGCATGCTTCGTATAACAATGATCTAAATATCGCTGCAAAACAATAAACAACAAAAACCCCATTTTTCAGATGCATGACATGACTGAGAAAAAAACAAAGGATGATCCATTATCAGATGCATCATGCATGAAGCATGACAAGAGTGAAAAACAGAGTCCTCTGTTTCATGAAGAGTAGACGATTCCTTATCTGATGCATGATAAAGAAGAAGAAACATATTTTGATCCATTATTATCAGATGCAAGTGAAAAACAGAGTCCTCTGTTTCAAAACAGGGGATGATTCATAACCTAATGCATGATAGAAAGAAAGAACAGAGTGTTCTGTTTCAAAAAAATTATCAAAATTGCATGGTAGAGTAAATCTGTTTTGAAGAACAGAGGAATTGATTACCAGGACGGAGGTGATCGGGACCGGCGTTGAGGAGGTTCATGAGGCCGGCACGGCCGTAGAATTTGGCGAGGAAGACGGTGGCGTTGGCTTGAGATTCGGCGGATTTGATCCATTGAAGACAAGGCCTTATGCTGCAGTTTTCACTGCAGCCTTTCCGAAGAACTCGACATCCGTTGCAGCTCATACGCATTTTTTTGTCTGAAGGTTTCTTTATTTTTTGGTTAAGAGGAAAGTACAGTACGGTCACAATCTTAGAAGAAAGGAAAGGTATTTAAGGGAGAAAGGAAGCTGCTTTGGTTTGGTCGGAGAGATCATAACAAGGGAAGAGGAACTTTGTTGGAGGGTTTTTAATTTGAGTAAATTTTTGACGTGTAGTGTATTTTTCTTAAATGAATTTCGTATTTTCAAAGTATAATACTTGAGTGAAGATGTTAAATGAAAAAAGACAAAAGATTTCGTTCGTTGTATTATGCAATTTTTTATAAGTTCATGTGCCAAATGGCGAAGATAACCATTTTCTTTAGATAAATGACAAAAACAAAAATTTGTTATAAGCAAATGATAAAAGCCTATCAGTAAAATATTATTGAAATGATTTTTTTTTTTTTTTTTTTTTTGTGGACATTTGGGCATGGTATCATAAAACTATTTTGTATAATGATCGATACAGTAATAATTAACATGTTAAGTAACATATAAAAGATAGTAACCGCCAAATTATCTTCTTTTAACAAGTTGAATCACACAGAAAAATATGTTATACATATAAATCAAGTGTATATAACTCAGATATATAAAATTGTTCGATACTTTCTTTAACTAATCTTTTGTGTTCATCCAGAAATAAACTAATATTCTTTATACTATGATATAAAAATTTAGTCATATTCTTATTTTCCATCATTGTTAATTGTTATGCAGTATTCTTTTTATTTATTTTATCACTCATATATTTCAAAATACTAAATGTAAGTTTTTTTTTTTTATATGTTAAGAGTAAGTTTTTAACTTGAAGAAGTGTTTTTAGTGGTTAAACATCTAAGTTACAATTTTCCACAATTTTCCACAATTTGTTTCATCGGAGATTCTGCAATAGAATTGAGAAGAAAAGGACAATGGCCTTGTTGAAAGATTTTTGTTTTCTTTTGAGTTTTGTCTCCGACTTTCATTCGTAGCACGTGATCTTCATCGGCCAAAGTCACTCAACGGTTTTATCAGTATTTTAGTCACATTTTACTTCTGACCATAATTTTACGTTCGACAAATTTGTAATGGACTCTATGGATTTCTTAACATTAAAACCAAAAAAAAATTGTAATGGACCGCCAAAAATTTCGGAAGTGGTGGTGAATTTGTAAACGAAGTTACCAAAAGAAAAAAGGTTAAAATGTGAAAGAGAGAGAGGAAGGTTCGAACTTCGAAGCCGCATGCAGAGCGAAAAAGTGCGGTCGCGTGGCGGAGGCATTGTGGTAACAGAGTTTGGTCGAATCGCCGCATTTTTTTAGAGGCTACATTATGTAGCCCCATCTTATTTCTGATAATTTCTATTAATACACTAGTGACCAATGAATAAATTATTGATGGACTAGCTGGTTTCAACTTTTTAAACTAAATTAATAATGTCAACGTTTAGTCGTTTATTGCTTAGATTCGGTAGTTTACTTTCATTAAAACAACCGGCTCTGAATGGCGATGTCTAACCTAATCTCTAGTTGCATCATTTTCATAGCAATGCAATCTAAATATGTAACCTAGCTTTAAAAGTATGCTGTATGTTTATCGAAATCGTTTAAACAGTTTTGACAAATCTATGTGCAGTACGTTGCTTCTCGTTTGCTAAAACACAATCTAAAAGTATATATAGTCACGGTTGAAATCATAAGGCATAGATATCATATAGCAAACCTTTCTTTACTGTTTAATGATAACACTTGAGGAACAAGTACAAAATCTCCCGGTTTTCCGGAGACGGAAATGATGATGTAGTAGCTAAACTAGTTCCATCTGTTATTCTGTGTGCTTCATAGATGGTTTTCAAATTCATTTTGGTCAACGTGGTTTTGGACTTTCCCTCCATCTCGGATTCTTCTTATTTTAATTTTTGCAATTACTGAGATCTAAGATAATCCAACTATTTTAGGCTGGGTCGGCGTTGTTAATATATAAAGATACTCCCTTTGTTTTTTATTGATAAATTTTATAGATTTTTCACACATATTAAAAAAGTCTGATATTAGTGAATAGAGCTTTGTAATAACACAACTTTCTATAATTTTAAACTAATAAAAATCTAACAGATACAACTAATTTTTCTTGAAAACTGAAAAAGTGCATAAAAAAGATAGAAAATTTATCTTTGTGAAACAACCAAAAATGTCTAGAAATTTCATCTTAAAAATATTAGACATTGGCAAAATTGTAGAGAACCTTGGCCTTAACTCTTGTTCATTAGTCGACTTTCACATGGTTGACCACAAAAAACGTTTTTAGCTAATTAAAATAACATGCGAAACAATAAAACTAATAGTCTCTAAGTCTGAAATACCAAATTACTAAAATATAGTATTATAGATGTATTACTATGCAATAGTTAAGCTTTATCCAAGTTTATAGTATGAATTAGCAGATCTATGGACGTTCTGTAACTTTTACAAAAATGTATTTCAAATATAACTTTAATGTTGTAAGATGAACGAAAGACCAAATTCCTATACATATATACTAGAACATAAATCAAATGGTTAGTACGTACAATACGCTATTTGCATATAGTCCTTTTAACAAAAACAATAACTTAACTGATGAACCGAATTATCATCATATTGCTATAAATGTGTGATTGACAGACAGAGATGATAATATATTAAACTTTAAGTTGCATAGGTATAGGTTGAAAAACAAATGCTTGCAAAATATGAACATACGAAAGCAATTTGTCGTGTTATGGTAAATAAGCTAATACCAATCCTAGCTATTGACAAATATTACTGGACCAGTTTTCTAGCTAGATTATACAATGATATTTGGAGCATGGAGGTTTATCTGATACAGAATCCAACGTTAACTCTTCCTTTTGTTTATCAATTTATCTCTTTCTCCCGGAATTTATCAAAAGTGAAGCTAGAAAAATCCAAATCTACGAAAACAAAGTGGAGCTAAAAACAAGCCATGAATGTTTTAAATAAAAAGATAGTGAACTCTTGTTGATAATACATTGAACTGAAAAAAGTAAGACAAATGGAGGAGAGATAGGTGATGATGCCATGCAAAAATGTCCAAAAACATAAATATATTAGAAAAAAAAAAGAAGAGAAGGAAAGATCCAAAAGAATCACGAAAAATAGGGTTTGGTGTCCATATGGCCGCGCGTGTGTACCACATCATTCGACGTTTAATTTTTGACCTTTTCTTCTTAAATGTTTGGACAAACCCTCTTCCATTTACTTCCATGAATTTAGGAGAAACCCAATATATAGCCTATTAAGATTTGATAATATACTAACGATGAATTATAGTATTATTCAATGTTTCAATTCAAACCCAGGGACTCGCGATTTCCATGGTATTCGGAATTGTGGGCTTAGCTGTATAGGAGAAGCTTCAACATTTTTGTTAGGATATTGGTCAACAGATTCTTGTACAGTAAAGAGGAAGTCCGATTCGTAGATTTTTTTCAGAATTTATCTTCTCAACTTTTTTGACGAATTATAGACATCAATGTGCGAGTGCTTTCTACAAACATTTTTAATGGTCTCCACTGTTTCGTTTTTCTTCTTCTTTCTAAATCATATTAGAGTCTAAAATTAGAGTTTATAGTCAGAACATTTGAAGTATAATTTATTAGACAAATTTCAGACTAAAACCTAATCGAGATTTCACTACAAATATTTTTTTATGTTCTTTTTTTCTTTTTGCATTAGATTATAGATTTTTTCACTGGCTTAGTGATATTTTGCGACAAAATAGTGAAAATTATATTAGCTAGTAAATACCGTAAAACCTATTGGTTATATAACATATAGGGAAGTTTGATTATATGGTGCATTATATGTTAGAGATGAAATTGTATGAACTAAATTTACTACACAAGGCAATTGGTATATGTAAGAGTAAAATAAGAACAACAAACAAAATTATAATACCAAATCAACGGTTGATGAAGGCGAGGTTTGAATCTCTTTACTTATATATTTTAAATGCTCCGTAGTGTATTGACGGTTTTTGTAGTGGTAAGATTACCAGGATACAACTGCTCAAATTTCCGTCTCCCAACACCAGAGAACAAAACCTAACGAACTTAGTTACTATGAGTACTCTCAAGGAGAAAAAAACAGAAGAAGAAGAGATTGTAAGGAATTGTTGTGATGGTGTGTTTTTTATGAGAAAACAAGGCTTGCATATATAGCCTAGACATTTAACGTAAGCCATAAAAATGGATATTGAGAAATATCTTCTCACTTAATCACCTTTGACGTGATTCAAGTTTCAACTTAATCACCTTTGACCCATCACAATTAATTTGTGATTTAATGACAATTGACTAACATCAATTTTAAAAGAGATATTTTGTTGACTCTAATTAAAAAGGAATTTGGGCTAAAACATTAATGACTTAACCGTTAGTCCAGTTTTCCTAACCCGAGGCCCAACACAAAAGCTTAGCCTGTGAATCTCTGTTCTCCCACTTTAAACTTTTATTTATCATTCAAACTAACTCCGTTTTTGTCATATGAATACACTACTCTATAGTGCTCACATCGACCACTCCTCATCCGGTTATTCCGACAAACGTCTTCACCGGAAAACCAACCGGAAAATGATCTTAAACCATTTTTCAAAAACGAGTTCCAACAATCCCCCACATGAATAGAAATGATCTAAACAAAAGAAGAAAAGACTCAAAAAGATAAAAAGGACTTTTGAGAGTATAAACGAAAAATCCACTGCATATGAGTTGGTAGCATTTTTCAGCCTTGAACCAAATCACTGTTAATAGCTATCGGGTTTACTCGACCAAGAGGTGAACATGATGTCTTGAACCTCTCGGGCTTTGATGTAAACCAAGACAACAACTATAACACAGTTTCATTCTCTCACAGAACTAGGTTCTCTATTGTGTTCATTTTGGCCATGAACATACTTGGATAATCATGAGTGAAGTTGGAGAATATAGCCTTTTATTTATTCTCCTAGAAACGGCCCCATTTCACACTCACAAGGTGATTCGCCATTAACTTTGTTTAAAGGAGTATCATGTACTACTCCATGTATATTTCAAAGTTATGGACCCAATCATTAAAAGCTAATGCTTATCCTCTATACCATACATGTAACACTGTTTATCATCCTAGGAACTGGGAATAGATATAAATCTCACAGTGTTTTTGGGCAGATTCAGTTTAACTTAGTTTTCCCCTTGAACCTATTTCTTGGGATCTCCAGTCATTTAGGTAGGGTTACCATTAAACATCCTCTTAAGTCATAGGCTTTTAACCCATTCCTCTTGATGATTTTACAACTTGATCTCATGACACACCTTTAATATTTGGATCCTAGGTTGTCATTTACTTGAATATAATCTATAAAGATTATTTCATTTTGAGATTAATTGTTTTTAAATATTTAGGAGGTAGCATGCAAATTTTTCCATGTACCCCCACATTTTCAAGGTATTGTACAAATGTACTTAACCTTCTCAAAATTCATAAATTTTGTCAAATGACTTTATGTGGTAAGCAATGCTTTTCCCCCACATTTCTCTTTACTTGATTTGCATTTTGGAAATAAGTATGAATTAAACAATCTCTTATAGATATATAATTTCATGCCTTAACCATTCATAACAAATATAGAAAGACTTAATCAAAAAAGAAACAACATTATTCTTATTGATTGAAAAACAAAAACAGAAACAACATTATTCTTAGGAGTTACAACTCAGTTTCGGATGACTGGCATGACACACATTTTGACAAGTCCATCCTTAACATACCCTTTCCCAAATAAATTCATGTTTCTTGAGCACAAGCTTGTCAGACTCGAAATTGGTAGCAAATCCGGCCTTACTCATAAGAGTACCAGAAATCAGATTCTTTCTCATGTCTGTCACATGCTTCACATTTTGGAGAGTGATCTCCTTTCCTGAGGTCATCTTCAGCACCACTTTGCCATGACCCTCAATCTTGGAAGAACCAGTGTTTCCCATCAATAGGCGTTCTCCATTGTTGCATTTCTGATAGGTACTAAACATGTCCATATCATTGCAGATGTGGATAGTGGCACCTGTGTCGTACCACCACTCCCTTGGGTTGTCCTCAACATTGTTGACTTCAGTGACCACAGCACACAAGTCATCTTCTGTGAGGTGAGCCTGAGACTTCCCTTTGTCTTCACTTGGACCAGCTTTTACGAAACATTAGCTTTGTGGCCCATCTTGCCACACTTGTGGCACTTCCATTTGAACTTCTTTGGTTCAGCTTGCTTCTTGAAGCTTGTGGAGGAGTGTGGAGGAATTTGTCCTTCCCATTTCTCTTTTGCTCAGCCAAGTTCACATCATTCGCACGAATGAAACAGCATCGGCTTCGCGGTTTCGGGATTCAACCTGCAGCTTGACAATTAAGTCCTCGAGGGTAATTGCCTTACGCTTGTGAGTGAGATAGTTTTTGAAGTCCATCCACCCTGGAGGAAGCTTCTCAATGAAGGAATTGACAGTGAAAATTTCACAAATCGACATACCCTCAGCGCTATCTCATGCGTAATCAATTGCAAGGCTTCAACTTGTTCCATGATGGGTTTTGAATCCACCATTTTGAAGTTGAGAAATTTCGCCGTAGCGTATTTCTGACAGCCAGCATCCTCGGACTTATACTTCTTCTCCAAGGCCAACCAAAGTTGCTTGGAGGTTTTCGCCTCACAGTACACATTGTACAATGGGTCTATCAAGCGGCTTAGAATCCAGCCCTTGCACAGAAAGTCTGACTGGGTCCACCGATCCATAATGGTTGAATCAGTGTTCCCTGGTGGGACAATGGGTGCATCATCTTTCAGATACTTGTCAAGGTTCAAATTGGTCAAAAAGAAAAGCATCTTTTGTTGCCAAGTTTTGAACCCATTCCCACCAACTTTTCTGGCATCAATCCTACGCTTACAGCGCCACATTGAAGGGTTTGTAAGTGGCTGACCACTCCCAAATTGGGGCGTCGACTCACTTAACCCATTTCCATTTCCAAGAGCACCACCTCCAATGGTTCCATCAATGGGAGCAACCATGTTTTGCCCATCAAGTCCAACTTGGTTGTCAATAGTCATAGTGAATTCAAATCTGTTCACAAGAACAAACAACAAAATGAATCAATATACTTCTTAAAAACCATAAACAAATTATATTGCAATTTAATCAATAAAATAAATCACAATAATCAATTAAATGAACAAATTTCAGAATACACAAATTCAAAAATTAATCATTCAATTTAGTGCAAAGACACGTCCTATGCAGTTTAAGCTTTACGAGAAAATGCATCAACATTGTTCTGTCTAGAATAAACAAACTTTTCTCATAATAAAGCTACTAAACAATTTTCGAAAGACAACTTATTATGCAACAAAACTCATAATATATACCACTATTATACACATGCATATAAGTCTCTCAAATAATTGCATCAACAACCCAATTTTTTTTTTTGATAATTAACAACCCAAATTTAATTTCCAGAACATGACGAAAGCAAATTAAACTCATATTATACTAAAATGCTAAAGTCCTGAAAATTAAGCACAAAGACGTGTTTTGATTTTTGCTAAACAACTAACATAACCAGAACATAAACCTTTAACCGCACAGCAAGTCAAAGTATAAACAATCGTCCAAGGTTTAAGCTCCATAATTAAGCCCATGAATGAATGATTCTATTGTTTGCTAAATAATATAGCACATCAATAACCGAACACTACAATTCAAACTAAGCAGGAACCTCTTAAACCGGACTAAACCAAATCTCACAGGAATCAAGCCTTTGCAAGAAACCAAAGTGACGAAGATTGAAGACAATTGCAGAAAAAAAATATTCAAAATCCCTTTTCTTGCAGAAATCCTTTTACGATTTGAAAACCGAAGAGACCAATGCGATAAAGAACAAAATCCATTATTCTATAAAAATATGGAGAACTGAGACAGTGAATAAGTTAGATAGATAGATCCCAGCCTAGAACCCCTGAAGAGCTCGAAGGTAGGGGGATTTACAGTCCAGAAGGTGATCTAAGAGAAAGAAAGTCACCTTAGGGAGGTTGTAATCCGTGGATGATTATAGTGGATGAACAGAGTATTAGAGAGAGAAGAGTGAGAGTAAAGAGATTATTTTTTCTGATTGATTTCCAAAAACGGCAATGCGCCTCACAAGTAGGGTTTCTCGTACCAACCGACAATCCCAAAATACATAACCGAATACAAACCGATAAATGGTTTAATTATTGAAAAGCAACATAACCAAAAGATAAGTGAACTGGATATAGCTTTCTCCTATAACAATACCCCTTCGTTGAGAGAAGACTTGTCCTCAAGTCTGGAAATCTGGGAACTTACTTATGAAGTCCTGATAGAACTCCCAAGTAGCCTGCTCTTCCGGATAGCCTTTCCATTTAACCAAGAGTTTAGTCACCCCTTTGTTCTGTCGCTGGACCATTTTCTTCTCAAGTATCGACTCTGGTTCCTTGGAGTTGCCAATGTCGAGTAGGTACTGTGGTAGTGCCGGAGCCGAGGTTGTTGGGTTTGGGCACAATTTCAGCTGGCTCACGTGAAACACGTTGGGGATGGCTGCAGATGAGAGAGCTCCAGTTTGTAGGCGACCTTTCCCACTCTATCAATGACACGAAAATGACCATAGAAGCGAGGAGAGAGCTTGTTTGGTACCTTTCTGTTCTTGAGAGAGTTCTGTCTGTAGGGTTGGAATTTGAGGTAGACAAAATCACCAATCTTAAAATCGCGCATAGATCTGCGTGAGTCCGCGTATTGCTTCATCTTGTTCTGAGCTCGCAACAAATGGAATTTCAGCATGTTTATCAGCTCTTCCCTTTTCTGCAGGTTTCTATCAATCACGGAAGAAGAACTTTCTCCAGGCAGGTATGGTAAGTGCAGTGGAGGAGGCTGACCGTATACGATCTCAAAAGGAGTACTCTGTATGGCGCTGTGAAAGGTAGTGTTGTACCACCATTCAGCCAGAGGTAGCCACTTGCTCCATGTGTGTGGTGCCTCTGATGTCATGCAGCGCAGGTACGTTTCCAAGGTCTTGTTAGTCACCTCAGTCTGTCCGTCAGTTTGAGGGTGGTAGGCTGTGGAGAATTTGAGGTCGACCCCATGGACCCTGAACATCTCTTTCCAAACTTCGCTCAAGAATGTTGGATCCCTGTCACTGACAATATCTTGAGGCATTCCATGAAATTTGAAAACATTATCCATATAGCTTTGAGCAACATCAATCGCAGTGTATGGATGAGACAGAGCTAAAAAATGTGCATTTTTACTCAGTATATCAATAACCACCAGATGCAATGTTTACCAGAGGAAGGAGGGAGCCCCTCGATGAAATCCATGCTGATAGATTGCCAAACCCCTTCTGGAACAGGTAGAGGCTGTAGCAGACCTGGTTTTGCAGCAAGATCATACTTGTTTCGCTGACAAACATCACAGTTACGAACGTAGTTCTGTACCTCAGTGTTCATCTTCGGCCAGAAGAACAGTGATTTCACTCTGTGGAGAGTTGCATCCCGACCTGAGTGACCACCAACAGCAGAGTCGTGCAGCCATTCCAGAATTTGTAGCTTCACGGTTTGATCATTACCAATCACCAATTTTTCCTTGCGGCGAAGCTCATCGTTAGTGTAGGTGTACGCATGATGGGAGCTTGGATTTGCTGAGAGATCTGAAATAATCTTCAGAAGCTGCGGATCGGTTTTCCAGAGTAGTTGGATGGAGTCATAGAACCCTTGGTGAGCCTGAGAGAGGGTAGTCTGCAGCAACTGAGAACCTGTAACACGAAAAAGAGCATCAGCAGCATAATTCTCTTTTCCCTGTTTATACTGGATCTCAAAAGTAAACCCCATAAGCTTGGATAGCCACATATGTTGGAATGGAGTGGAGATCTTCTGTTCCATCAGATATTTGAGACTCTTCTAGATGGTCTGTCTTGATGACAAAGGGTCGGTGAGACAGATAAGCACTCCATGACTGAACGACATGTACCACAGCCATGAGTTCTTTCTCATAGACCGATAAGGATTGGTGGCGTGGCCCAAGAGCTCTGCTGATGTAGCAGATCGGATGATTATCTTGCATCAACACTGCACCAATTCCTGTGTTTGATGCGTCGGTTTCAATAACGAAGGTCTTTTCAAAATCTGGGAGAGCTAAGACTGGAGCAGAAGTGAGAGCTGTTTTCAGAGCAAGAAAAGCTTCAGTGGCTTCATCTGACTAGCGAAAACCATCTTTCTTGAGCAGTGAGGAGAGAGGTCTCGCGATCAAGCTATAACCTTTGATGAAACGACGGTAATAGTTGGTGAGACCCAGAAAGCTGCGCAGTTGCTTCTGATTAGTTGGAGTAGGCCAATCCGTAACTGCCTTGATTTTAGCTGGATCCGTGCTAACCCCTTCAGCTGAAATAAAGTGGCCCAAGTATTCAATCACAGTAGCTCCAAATGTACATTTAGAAGCCTTCAGATAGAGCTGTTGTTGTCTTAGTATGGAGAAGACCGTCTCTAGGTGTTTCATGTGCTCTTCTCAGGTTGCAATGTAGACCAGGATATCGTCGAAGAAGACGAGCATGAACTTTCGGGGAACATCTTGGAAAACGTGATTCATCAACCCTTGGAAGGTACAGGGAGCGTTTGTAAGACCGAAGGGCATCACGAGGTACTCGTAGTGGCATGCGTGTGTCCTGAAGGCAGTCTTGTATACATCAGGAGGTGACATCCGCAACTGATGAAAACCTGCACGCAAATCCAACTTGGAGAAGTACTGTGATCTGCATAACTCGTCCAGTAAGTCCTCTAGTAATGGGATGGGGGTACTTATCCTTCACAGTTTGCTTGTTAAGGCCCCTGTAGTCAACATAAATCCGCCAGAAACCATCCTTTTTCTTGACGAGGACAATTGGTGAAGCATAAGGGCTGTTACTGCACTGAATTATCCCTTGTGATAACATTTCCTGCACCATCTCATCAATCACGTCCTTTTGCAGTGATGATTACCTGTACGGTCTGAGGTTCAACGGATTCGCACCTGTTTCCAGAGGGATCTGGTGATCGAAGCCTTCCCTGAATGGTGGCAACTCCGTTGGTGTGATGAATAAGTCGTCGTACTGGTCGATGAGCGATTGTACTGCAGTAGTGAGAGAAGACTTTGTGTTACTCGTTGATATGTGGGAGAGGAGAGATTTCTGTTCTGTATCATCTGTTCCCAACTCACGGATCTGAAGCATTGCAATATGAGGTCCTTTCTGTAAGATTTTGTTTAAACTGCCTCCATTGATCATCTTACAGCCAGCTTTGGTCACTCCCTTGAGTAAATGTTTTATCCCTTGAAAAGTGAGCTCCATCTTAAGGTTCAGGAAGTCCCAGAGGATCGGAACCAAAGTCTAGAGCCATTGAACCCCAAGGACTAGATCACAAGAATCAAGAGGGAGAGTTCGAACCTCAAGATTGAAATTGTAACCTTGCACCTTCATGTTGAAGTCTCGGCATATATATTTGGTGATCAGGTTTCCTCCATCTACAGCAGCGGCCATTGGTGAGATGGGTTGGAGAAGACAGCCGACTCCAATATCTAGGAAGTTATGAGTGCTACGGGGATCGATCAGAACGTACAAACGCTTCTTGTTCCCATACTGACCGGTCACTCTCATACAGTTGAAACTAGTGGAGCTATTCAATGCATTGAGAGAAATAGTAGGTGCCTTTCCCATAGCTGAAGGTGCACTCTCCTCCACTACAACTTCAGTCAATTCTTCTTCATCATCAGAGTAGTCCTCACAATCAATCATAAAAAGCTGAGCTCTCTTGTGTTTCAGTTGGTGTCCTGGGGTAAAGACATCGTCGCAAAACATACAAAGGCCCTGGCTTTTTCTTGCTTTCATTTCCTCAAAAGTAAACCTCCGGGGTGGGTTATCTCCATTGTGACGAGGGATGAATGAAGGTTTTGATGGTTGTGTTGTGTTGGTAACTGTCTGGTTGGGCGAAGGTAGCAGCGGAGTGGAATGAGCGGGTTTGTTGAACTGGTGGTGATTCTGTTTAGGGTAAGGATTGAAGGGAGCTCGTGGTTGTCTGACTAGTGTGCACACAAGGGATGATTCATGGAGCTTGGCGATTCTGGCAGCCTCCGAGATCGAATCGACCTTAAACTTGCGGACATTCAGAGCGAGGTGTTCATTCATGTTGGTCAGGAAGATGCTCAAAGCATGAGGCGTCGGGAGAGACAGTCTTGTTAGAGCGCAGTCGAAATTCTCCAGATAAACCTCGATTGAGACTCCTGCTTGTTTCACCTTCATTAACTCGGACAGAGGATTATCAAACATCTTACAGAACCTCGCATAGAGCTCTCTTACATACTCAGGCCACGAAGGGAAGATATCATATCTGTTCTTTATGAAGTTGTGGTGCCACTGCAAGGCTTTCCCTTCAAGGTGTAGACAAGCCAGACGGACTTTCAGCTCTGGCGGTGTGTGTCAAGCTTGAAAAACTACTTGCATCGAGAAATCCACTCGTTTAGCAGTGTACCGTCGAAAAGTGGAAACCTACTTTCGTCAGGCAAGAAGACATGCCGTTCGGGAGCAACGGATCTCTGTGCGGCGTCGTATCTGGCGGATCTGGGGGTCGAGTCACCTCCGGTGTACTCAAGAGACTGGCGGAGAGCGACGGTGATGGACTGCCGTCCTGAGCAGGTGATGGTGTAGGTCCGTGAGTGAAATGTTTCAAGATGACGGCTTCCAAACCCGAGAACCTTTCCTGGAAGCTGGAGAACTTCCCGTCGAGCTCACTTCGTAGATCTGTGAAAAGGGTGTCGGTATGGGCTCGGTGTTCTTCCACTTGCTTGTTGAGCTCAACCAAGGACGCTGATCTGGTTTCCATAGCGCTGATCCGAAGATCGTGAGGCTCTGATACCAATGAGACAGTGAATAAGTTAGATAGATAGATCCCAGCCTAGAACCCCTGAAGAGCTCGAAGGTAGGGGGATTTACAGTCCAGAAGGTGATCTAAGAGAAAGAAACTCACCTTAGGGAGGTTGTAATTCGTGGATGATGATAGTGGATGAACAGAGTATTAGAGAGAGAAGAGTGAGAGTAAAGAGATTGTTTTTTCTGATTGATTTCCAAAAACGGCAAAGCGCCTCACAAATAGGGTTTCTCGTACCAACCGACAATCCCAAAATACATAACCGAATACAAACCGATAAATGGTTTAATTATTGAAAAGCAACATAACCAAAAGATAAGTGAACCGGATGTAGCTTTCTTCTGTAGCAAGAACTGCAGATTAAGCAAAAATAATCAAAAATAAAAAGATAATAAAATAGTCACAGAGATTACTCCATCTCACGAGACTAAGAACCTGCAGTTAACAATATTAAACCTTAAACAAGGTAAAATAACAACACGGATTAATGGTCATATATAACAAATACGACATCAAAACAGTTGGGGTATGGAGATAATCTGGGTAAACGAAAAGCATAAACCCAACAAACTGCAAAATTAAAAAAAAATCTCAATATCCCTGCAAAACAGAATTGTTAGTGCAGCGAGAAACACTAGATGCACTTAGACACCACTCAATCAATAACATAGAACGATGTACACCTGTTCTTAACATAACACTTTTACAAATATCAGTATCGTTAGTGCAAAGCAAACAACGATTTTAAAAGATTAAGACTGTATGAACTAAATTTACTATACAAAGCAACTGATATATGTAAGAGTAAAATAAGAACAACAAACAAAATTACAATACCAAATCAACGGCTGATGAAGGTGAGTAGCAGAGGCGAGGTTTGAATCTCTTTCCTTAAATCTTTTAAACGCCCCATACTGTTGACGGTTTTATAGCGGTACAACTGCTCAAATTTCCGTCTCCCAACACCGGAGAACAAAACCTAACGAACCTAGTTACTATGAGTACTTTCAAGAAGAAAAAACAGAAGAAGAAGAAATTGCGAGGAATTGTTGTGATGGTGTGTTTTTGATGACAAAACAAGGCTCATATATATAGCCTAGACATTTAAAGTAAGTCATAAAAGTGGAGATTGAGAAATATCTTCTCACTTAATCATCTTTGACTTGATTCAAGTTTCAACTTAATCACCTTTGACCAATCACAATTGATTTGTGATTTAATGACAATTGACTAACATCAATTTTATTTTGTTGACTCAGTCAACAAGCTAATTAAAAAGGAATTTGGGCCAAAAGATTAATGACTTAACTATTAGCCCATTTTTCCTAACCCGAGGCCCAACGCAAAAGCTTAGCCCCTAAATCTCTATTCTCCCACTTTAAACTTTTATTTCTCATTCAAACTAACTCCGTTTTTGTTATATGAATACACTACTCTATAGTGCTCACGGCGACGACTCTATCGTGCCCACATCCGGTTATTCCGACGAACGTCTCCGCCGGAAAACTCACCGGAAAATGGTCTTAAACCATTTCACCAAAAACGAGTTCCAACAGAAATTAACATATTTCTTTAAGCCCGTCACAATCAATAACATTATGTAATTCCTCAAAGAAAAGGAATTACTTGGAGGAAAAAACTACTTTAAAAAAATGGAAAGAGATCAACACTAGAAGAATATTTGCAAAAGAAATATGGAAGAATATTTTGATGAAGCCGACATCCTTTCTTCATAAATAGAAGACCCCCACCCCCCCTCAATTCCTTGAAGATCATCCAAAATCATCTACAATCACTAAGAGAAGAGAGGCAAACCCTAGCTATAATTCGTCTTTGTTCTTAGTTTTTCTTAATCTCTTCGTATTCATCCCGAGCTGAATCACCCTTGTACATTCTTGAACTTTGGTTGATCTAATAAAAGAGTTTCTCCTAAAACCCACATCTCTTATCTTCTATTACTGTGTGATTTTGATAAATTCTATTTGCCAGTTGTTGAATCTCAAAATCACACAGTAATAGTAGATAAAAGATGTGAGTTTTAGGAGAGACTCTTTTATTAGATCAACCAAAGCTCAAGAAGGTACAATGGGTGATTCAACTCGGCAACAAGGTTTGCCCAGATGAATACGAAGAGACTTTGAAAAACTAAGAACAAATGACGAATTATAGCTCAAGTTTTGCCTCTCTGCTCTCAATGATTGTAGATGATTTTAGATGGTCTTCAAGGAATTAAGGGTCTTCTATCTATAAGGAGAGAGGGTCAGCTTCATCAAGATATCTTTCTATATTTCTTTTGGAAATATTCTTCTTTGTTGTTGACATTTTTCTATTTTTCTTGGAAGTAGTATTTTTTCTACAAGTACTTCTTTTTATTTGAGAAGGTAGAAGTGACAAATGGACCAGATTTACATAATGTTATTGATTGTGACGGACTCTAAGGAATATGCTAATTCTATATCTAAGATTATATAGCCAAAAACGTTCAAATGCAAACCTGTTATATTTTGTATACGCCAATAAGAAATTACTTAACCAAAAAAATTGCATGTAGATTAATGATTCGAACTTAAATCCACGATTTCTAATATTATTTATAATTTACATAGTAAATCCTAAAACTCCAACTTAAGATTTGATCATACATAATAATTGTTTTTGAGAGACTGAAGTACTGAACCCTTATACACATGGTGTTTTCCTAAATTATGACATTCCTATGTTTAAAGTTATAAGCTTTCTACTAGAGAGCACTCTAGATGCAATTTGACCGAATTCTAGATTCCATGAATTTCAATTGTGAGCCCAATTAAATTTGACAAGAGCCCAACAAAATTGGTGGAGTAACTTACAATCCTACCACTCTGCATGTGTGCATGGAGCCACACTCCAAACGGTACATGGGTACCTCGAATTAATCAATTAAATCATTAATCAAGTAAAACCTAACTGAAAATTCCAAACCGAAGATGAATAAGCATATTGTAAAGAAAAAAGGATATACGAAAACGAATCTACACCGTTTCAGTTTGGTTCCTATGTTTTTGTAAAATTAAAAGATAATTGAACTTAAATGGAACAAAATATTATGGAGATTTACCCATTTCTTATTTAACGTATGTGGGTTTTTCTTTACTTGTGTGGCTCTCATAAAATATTTTTGGAGAGTGAATGAGTAAAACAATTCATAGAAAATGTTAAATATACTTTAAAAGTATGTTTCTACATTGAAATTTGATAAAATATTCCGCTATTTTGCCAAAATTATCTTTTAATAACTCACCTAACATGCAATTTGTTCATAATTCATCCTACTGATTTTATTTCTGTCTACAATTTGTTTTTGTTATTATTCGTTATTATTCCATAATTCCACAATTAAATTTATACTATATAAAAGTTGAGGCTATAAGCCATTGAGGCGTCCACATAGGATTATAAAACACGATTTTATTGGTCCACATAAGCATCTTCAAGATTAAGAAAGTTTCCAAATTTTAAACTACCAATAGTATCATTCCACATAATCATATAAAATTAAGAAATTTTCCAAATTTTAAACAACCAATAGTATTAATCTATATCATCATATAAAATTAGCTATATTTGTTAAATTAGTTAATTTCTTTCTTATGTTTCAAGAAATTAATTAGTATAATCTGTTTAAATTAGAAATTCCCAAGTCTAAAGTGATTAATTAATTTTTTTAATAAATATGTTTTTAATATAAAATTTGAGGCTAAATGCATTTAAGAGTGTCCACATAAGATTATAAAACATCTTATTGGTCCACATAAACATTTACATAATTATTTTTTTCCAATTTTAAACAACCAATAGTATTAATCTATATCATCATCTCATTTTTTTCAAATTTTAAACAGCCAATAATATTAATCTATATCGTCATCTAAAATTAGCTATATTTTTAAAATTAGTTAACTTCTTTTATGTTTCAAGAAAATTAATTAATAAACCGGTTTAAATTAGAAACTCCACAAGTCCAACGTAATTAAATTAAGATTTTTTAAAAATTATTGTTAAAAAATATAATTTACTAAAAAAAATTATATAAAAAACATTTGTATAACTAAAATATTAGTTATAAAGAATTAAATAAACCTTAAGGTGAACTATCTTTGACCAAACTTAAGTTTTTACAAATAAAGAGTAGGTTACACCATAATAACTGAAGAATTGTTCTAAGCAAACAAAGCCAACATTGCAAAAGAGTCGATCTCAACATTACATAATCTATGAATAAAAAAATGGAGATAGAAACAAAAATGGTAATGTCGTATAGAAGACATATGAGTTCATTTGCAGTTTTTTAGGTGATGAGAGAGATCAAGCTTTGGGAGCTAAAACAAAAAATCAAGAAAACAATAGCATACTATATAATATTTAGTTCATCGTAGCTTCAAAAAAATGGTCGAAAAAGTAAATAGTTTGTTTGGATTACTATGGAGCAGAAGAATTCAAAGGAGATTTAATAGTGCAACTCATACAACAAATTTTCGAGAAAGCATTCCACCCTACATCAACAAAATAAGAGTTGTATTCGGGAGGATAATGGAGGTCAGACAGAGAGGAAAGAAGAGGTTGATGTCTGGCATCCTTCACATCCTTTAAGAAGATTTCATCTCCATGTAAATAACGATTTTCAAATAAGAGAAAATCACGAACCTTCCAAAAATGGCAAAATATATAAGGATAAAGAGATATAGGCAATAAACCTATTAGGGGTAGAATAATCAGTTTTTCTACATCTTCAAAGAGTTCTGAAAAATGTGTGAGTTTGCCATAAGTTTATTGAGAAGCATGGCTTGATCCAAGACTCATACTGTAGAAAGACATATGAAGAAGATATGGAGACTGTTTCTTTGATGATCACAATGATTGCAGAGGTGTATCAATTCCATGAGCAGCCAGAGTTTGATCGGTCAAGACAAAGCTTT